TATTGTGCACCAGAAACTCTGCCGAAATTTCCGCTGCGCACAACATGTCCTTCAGAGCACAGATATTAGATCGCACATAAAGCTTCGCCAAATAGTCCCAAACCTCCTTAGCAGTATCATACTTGGCTAATTGCACACCAATCCTATTCTCAACAGAATTATTAATCCAAGTAATTATTTTCGAATTACATGTATCCCACACATCCAGAGCTTCTTCATACTTAGCATCTCCAACTTTGGGAATCTTAGAAGTACCAGAAACATAACACCACATCTTCTTTCCTTTCAAAAAATTTTTCATTACATAACTCCAGTAAGAATAATTTTTGCCATCTAAACGAACACCAATTGATTGCAATGAATCATCTCCTCTAGCCATTTCAACAGGAACAATTTTAAAGCCAGTAATAATTCTCACAAACACAAAGAAAATTCAACAGCACCACAAAGACAAATCTTCACCAAACAGATGCGAAAATTAGGACAAAACCCCCTTGTGATCCACAAAGCATCCCCAAAATCCTGACCCATGTAATCTGTCCCTTTTCCAAGCTCGCTTCAGGAAAGGGTTTCTCGAAAAATCGATTCGCTCTTTGCATTGATCTAATGGCGACGACGGAGGGCAAACAGATGGCGACTGAGGACGCGAAGATCGATCTCTCGTTCTCCGGCGTCGTTGCAATGATCTTCTTCGAAATCGATCAAGAATGGGATGACAGAAGAGGGCAAAGAAGCTTTACAGCAGTCTCTTCGAGGATGACGTCGTCGTTGCAGCGATCTTCTCGTTCTCAGGCGTCGCCATGGCCGCCGATGCGCCTGCTCCGGTATTCGTCGCTTTTATCTTGATAAAATTAGTTCAGATCATGAACCATGCTCTGATACCATGTTAGATTCAATAATCATACACTCAAAAGAATAACAATGGAAGAACAAGAGGAGCAGCCGCATCCATATGTAAAAAGAAGAGTCTGAGCTAAAAGCTTAGGTTTTACAAGCATAAAAGGCATATATATAGAAAACATGGCTAGCTAGGAAAAGACCAAAATGCCCTTGAGGGCTAACTGATATAATACACAAATATACGCTAACATCCCCCCTCAAACTCGCGATGGGGCAGCAAGAAGCATCGAGAGTTTGCCAACAAAGAACCAATGACGCTGGAGGGTATGAGCCTTCGTGAAGAAATCTGCAAGTTGCATAGAGGACGAAACAAAGGGCAAAGAAAGAGTCCCTTGCTGGAGATGATAACGAGTCACATGACAATCGATCTCAATGTGTTTGCTGCGTTCATGAAAAACTGTGTTGTGCGCAATCTGAATAGCACTCTTATTGTCACAGTACATCGGTGTGGGGGAAGAGAGAAGTACACCCATAGCAGCTAATAACCAACGCAGCCATACAATCTCACACGTGGTGGAAGCCATAGCACGATACTCTGCCTCAGTTGAAGAGCGAGAAACAACATCTTGTTTCTTACTCTTCCAGGAGATGAGAGAATCACCTAAAAATACACAGTAACCAGTAGTAGATTTCCGATCCGTTGGGTCACCAGCCCAATCTGCATCAGAAAAAGCACGAAGCTCCAAGGATGAGGTTGATGGGAACAAAAGACTCTGATAAAGGGTGCCCCGGAGATAACGCAGAATGCGTATAACAGCAGCCCAATGTACAGATGTAGGAGAGGAAACAAATTGACTAACGATGTGAACAGCATAAGCAATATCGGGGCGAGTAATAGTCAGATATACTAGGCTTCCAACAACTGAACGATATAGGGTGGGATCTGCAAGAGGAGTACCATCGGTAGGAACATAGCGAGCATTCAACTCAAGTGGGGAATCAACAGTACGAGTATCTGTCAGGTGGGCTCGCTCAATAATATCAGCAGTATATTTAGACTGAGAGAGAAGATAACCCTTCTCCGAAGAAGCTACCTCGATACCTAAAAAGTAGCGTAGAGAACCTAAATCTTTCATATCAAAGCAACGAGACAAGGTAGATTTTAAATCTGCGATACCATCAATATCATCACCTGTAATGATCATATCATCAACATACAACAGGAGCAAAATACGGCCTGTAGAAGATGAGCGAACAAACAATGCCGAATCATGATGGCTAGAAACAAAGCCAAGAGAAGTGACTACCGAAGAGAATTTGTCAAACCATGCGCGAGGGGCTTGTTTAAGACCATATAGGGCCTTCTTAAGCCTACAAACCTGCCCTGGACTATGTGAAACACCTGGTGGAGGAACCATATATACTTCTTCTTTAAGATCACCATTCAAGAAGGAATTTTTAACATCCAATTGCGAAATATGCCACTGACGAATAGACGCAACCGCGATAAGAACCCGAACAGATGTCATCTTTGCAACAGGGGCAAAAGTCTCCTCATAATCCATACCATACTCTTGAGCAAACCCCTTTGCTACAACTCGGGCTTTGTACCGCTCAATAGAACCATCATATTTTGTCTTAATTTTGTATACCCATCGAGAGCCAATCGTTTTCTTACCATGCGGAAGAAAAACCAAATCCCAAGTACCAGTTTTGTCCAAAGCAGACAGTTCCTCAGCCATAGCCCTTTGCCAAGCAGGATCACGAACTGCCTCTGAGTAAGAGGTAGGCTCACAGAAAGAATTAATAGAAACTAAAAAAGAAGAAAAAGATGGAGAATAACAAGAATAAGCAAAATCTGGTAACTGGGTGGACTTACGAGTGCGTGTGGGATAGCGAGGTGGGTCAGGATCCGCAATCACAAGAGGTTCTGGAGTAGCTGTAGCAGGGGGTGGACTGTTACCCTCAGGTGGACTGTTACCCTCGTGAGACCTGCAAGAAGGCTGAGAAGGAGAAGACGGTATAGATGACGAATCAAGTACAGAGGGCTGAGAATCGGATGGGCAATCATCATTGAAAGGAGCAATCTGAATAAGATCAGATTTGGTCATACCATGCGAGCTAGCTGGAAGGGAAAAGTAAGGAATATGCTCAAGAAAGGAAACATGACGAGAGACATACAATTTTCTAGAGTCCGGATCATAACAACGATAACCTTTTTGCCCAGCGCCATAACCAAGAAATACACATATAGCAACGCGAGAGGATAACTTGGTTCGTTCTACATGTGGACGAAGAACAAAACATGTAGAGCCAAAAACCCTCAAATGAGAATACTCAGGAGTGTGACCAAATAATCTAGCATAGGGAGAAATGCCTGAATTATGAGAAGTGGGGATCCTATTGATGAGATAAACAGATGTAAGGACTGCTTCTCCCCAAAACTCCCTAGGAACATGAGCAGACAAAAGCATAGAACGAGTAGTCTCAACAATGTGTCTATGTTTCCTTTCAGCTACCCCATTTTGTTGTGGGGTATCCGTACAAGAAGTTTGATGCACGGTACCATCAGATACAAAAATGTCAGAAAGATCCCCTTTAGTATATTCGCCACCCAAATCAGAACGAAAACATTTAACAACAGCAGAGAATTGTGTTCTGACATAGGCTTGAAATTCTGTATAAATATTAATGAAGTCAGAATGTCGTTTCATCAAATAAACCCAACAGTAACGAGTGTAATCATCAATAAAAGAAACGTAATATCTAGACCCCCCTTTGGTGGAAATAGGAGCGGGACCCCAAACGTCAGAATGAACCAAATCAAAAGGTGCAAAAGAGGTAGATGTACTTGTATTAAAGGGTAAGGCAGAAAATTTTCCAAGTTTACATCCACTACAGTCGGAAATATCATGTGAATGCACGTCACCTAAAACACCACTACTACTCATAAATTTTAGGCGAGAGCCCGAAACATGACCAAGTCGAGAGTGCCACAAATAAAACTTAGAAGAGGAAGATGTCAAATGAAAAGAAGATAGATCAACACCCGTTGCAGCAACATGAACAGGAATTTGCAAGTCATCCAAAACGTAAAGCCCCCCTTTCTACGGCCTGTCCCAATCATTTTCTTGGATTTTGGATCCTGCACATGACAAGAGGTAAAAGAAAAATGAACAGGATATCCAGAATCACATAATTGACCAACAGAAACAAGACTCATAGTCAACTTTGGAATGTAATAAACATTAGATAAGGATATATTTGTTGTGTGAATGGTACCAATGCCTGCTAATGGCATGGGTGTGCCGTCAGCAGTCATAACAGAGGTAGATGGGGGATCACTAGTCATGGATATAAAAGATGAACAGTTAGGAGACATATGATTGGAGGCACCTGAGTCTAAAGCCCAATGAGACGAGATGGTACCTGAACCATTTGATGATGACAGACCTGAGGTAAATGGAGCAGACATGGCATAGCGCTGAGACTGAGGGTGAGGCTGACTTTGGGACTGAAACTGGGACTGAGATTGGCTTGCAACAAATCTCTCAAACTGCTCAGCTATAGAATCAATATTAGGACTCTTGTAAGATTGGCTTGCAACAAATCTCTCAAACTGCTCAGCTATAGAATCAATATTAGGACTCTTGTAAGAGGTCAGACCCAGGTGATCCGATGATGGTACCAATGCAACTAATGAATGAGGATAACTGTTCCGAGGATGACCCCCAGAAAAAGGCTTGTGTTGCCCACCACGATACTGTTGGTGAGCCTTACCGCCTTGGCCCCCAGAGTGTGACTGTGAAGGCTTCCAACCTTGTCTCTGACGTGCTAACTCTGGGCATTGATTCTTCCAATGCCCTGGCTTCTTACAATAGTTACAAACCCCCTTATCAAACGATCTGTTCTGATTTGAAGTGGCTCCCAAAACCGGCGAAGATGAAGGCACAACTAAAACTGATGCATGTGAAGTATGCACTTCCTTGTCACTCTGGGTTTTGAGACGAGTTTCATGAGCCAACAGTTCGTTAACAACAGAATCAACAGGCGGCAATGGAGTGCGATGCAAAATCGATGCACGAATAGTCTCAAACTCTGGACGTAGGGCCATCAATAATTGAACTAGACGTTGTTCCTCTCTACGGGTAATATAAGGTTCAAAAACCTTCAACCAATAGTTCATTAACAACAGAATCAACAGACGGCAATGGAGTGCGATGCAAAATCGATGCACGAATAGTCTCAAACTCTGGACGTAGGGCCATCAATAATTGAACTAGACGTTGTTCCTCTCTACGAGTAATATAAGGTTCAAAAACCTTCAACTCAGCAGATTCTGTCAAGGCCAACTGATCCCACAAATCAGTAATCTCAGAATAAAAATCCATAACACCCTTATCATTCTGCCCTAGAGCACGGATTTCAGATTCCAATTGATACTGGACATCAAAATTAGATCGCACATAAAGCTTCGCCAAATAGTCCCAAACCTCCTTAGCAGTATCATACTTGGCTAATTGCACACCAATCCTATTCTCAACAGAATTATTAATCCAAGTAATTATTCTCGAATTACATGTATCCCACACATCCAGAGCTTCTTCATACTTAGCATCTCCAACTTTGGGAATCTTAGAAGTACCAGAAACATAACACCACATCTTCTTTCCTTTCAAAAAATTTTTCATTACATAACTCCAGTAAGAATAATTTTTGCCATCTAAACGAACACCAATTGATTGCAATGAATCATCTCCTCTAGCCATTTCAACAGGAACAATTTTAAAGCCAGTAATAATTCTCACAAACACAAAGAAAATTCAACAGCACCACAAAGACAAATCTTCACCAAACAGATGCGAAAATTAGGACAAAACCCCCTTGTGATCCACAAAGCATCCCCAAAATCCTGACCCATGTAATCTGTCCCTTTTCCAAGCTCGCTTCAGGAAAGGGTTTCTCGAAAAATCGATTCGCTCTTTGCATTGATCTAATGGCGACGACGGAGGGCAAACAGATGGCGACTGAGGACGCGAAGATCGATCTCTCGTTCTCCGGCGTCGTTGCAATGATCTTCTTCGAAATCGATCAAGAATGGGATGACAGAAGAGGGCAAAGAAGCTTTACAGCAGTCTCTTCGAGGATGACGTCGTCGTTGCAGCGATCTTCTCGTTCTCAGGCGTCGCCATGGCCGCCGATGCGCCTGCTCCGGTATTCGTCGCTTTTATCTTGATAAAATTAGTTCAGATCATGAACCATGCTCTGATACCATGTTAGATTCAATAATCATACACTCAAAAGAATAACAATGGAAGAACAAGAGGAGCAGCCGCATCCATATGTAAAAAGAAGAGTCTGAGCTAAAAGCTTAGGTTTTACAAGCATAAAAGGCATATATATAGAAAACATGGCTAGCTAGGAAAAGACCAAAATGCCCTTGAGGACTAACTGATATAATACACAAATATACGCTAACTTCAACGTCCGCACGATCTTAGAAGGTGTAAAAGCGTCATTCTGAAACCATAGATCCTTTATTTCAGACAGCAGGAACTATCTACTCTTTATCAAAAGGAAGCAAATATCAATGTTCTGCCATCAAATGACAAATATGTCTGTTACAAACTGCAGCTGACACAAGCACTGAGTTTTACTATTACATAACTTACTCATCCTTAAAGGTAAGTCGCTGACACACATCTTGATGTTAGCCTTAAAATATGTTCGTGTTAGTGACATATATAATCCAAGTGATACCATGCTCAAAGGCTAATCATGAATTATAGCATCCATAACATACGCGTGTGGAGAAGATCAAAAAGGAGAGAAAGCAGGGTGAAATATACATCACGGGGGTTTTCCACATAATCCGCCTTTAAAATCGGGTGACTATACAAAAACCATCTTTAAAAGTTCAAATAATACAGAAAGCTTTCAGTAGCTTTGCTTAAGAATCAAAAAAGAGGAAGCTATAGACAAATCATGAATTAAGTACGACCATGTTCGTAGGAGCTCTGTAAGTATCCAAACAAAGAATAAACATTTTAAACAGTTGGTAGTTTTATGAAAATTGGATACAGTTACCAGTGCATAAACTGATAAGTACCTGTCTGAATGTGAATCTGGTAGTGAATAGAAAAATATTGGGAGAGAGGCATATACGTTTCAACATGCCGATTTAAAACCGGAAAAAGTAAAAACAAGCATCCCAAAATTTTACCTAAATCCCATTGATATCTGTGCCTCCCACACATTTTGGTATTGATATATACTTTTCCGATTCTCAAAATTTTTTGACAGAGGGCAAGGAATAAACAAAGTTCTTATTGTAGCATGAATCTTGGACACGTAAGTATTGAAAACATCTCATATTCTCCTTGTCCACGATAAGAAGCCTATCTTCAAGTGATATAACTTCAACTGGTACGCTTGACATTCACATATGGCTGGAGTTAATGTAGAAATTAGCAGTTGATGGCTCAGAACAGGCAGCAGAGAGGGTGGCGGTCGACCGTGGCAGTCGACCGCGCGACCGCGATGGATCGCGGTCGACCGCCGAAGCGGTTTGGACAGAATCTGTGTTTCAGACCTGTTTCGTTTGGGAGTTGTATAAATACCCAAACTCATTTCTAGGGTTTTAAGGGCAAGAGGTTTTGAACAGATTGAGAGGGTTTTCTTTGGGCTTCTATTCTAGGAGCAATTGGAGAGATTGAGAGTTGATTTGTTGATGGTTTATGAGAGATTTGTAACCCTAGTTTGTTCCTTTTGATTTCTAATAGTGAAAACTCCCCCCTCCTTGCCCCGTGGACGTAGGCATCTCGCCGAACTACGTAAAATCTGGTGTATCTTATGTTTGTGCTATTGTTTGGTGTGTTTGGTTATCTCTTTCGGCTATTTGGTTGGATCTCGGCATAGGGGTTTCTCCCCAACAAGTGACATCAGAGCTTTGGGCAACGTTTGGGCTTTTTGGAGGTGTAGATCAGTTGGAAAGTTCATCTAGAGCTTCGATTGGTGATAAAGGTAGGATCTTTGTGGTAATGTTTCTATCTTTTTCAAGTTAGATCTATTTCTTGTTTGTTCCGCAATTGTTTGGGTGCTTTGAGATATATGGCCGAAAAAGATAAAAGTGGGGAGGGTTCTTCTAGTTTGAAGACCGTCTAAAGTTTGAATATCCATTCTATGAAGATAGATGTGGAGAAGTTCGATGGCACAAATAATTTTGGACTTTGGAGATGCGAAGTCTTGGTTGCACTAAATGCGCAAAATTTGAAAGATACGTTGAAGTTGGACGGGAAATCGGACGACATTGATGATAAGGTTTGGAATAAAATGAATAGAACGGCGTGTGTGGTGTGATTAGGTCTTGCCTCACTCAAGACCTAAAATATGATGTGATGAATGAGACTTCTGCAAAGAAGATTTGGGAGGTCCTAGAGGGCAAGTATTTGACGAAGAGCGTTAAAAATCGTTTGCATTTGAAGAGGAGGCTTTATCGCTTCCAATTGAAGAAGGGGACATCCATTAGTGATCACATGAACCACTACACGAAGCTACTTGCAGATTTGGCGAATATAGATGTTATAGTTGAAGATGAAGACAAGGCATTGTTGTTATTGAGTTCCTTGCCCGATAAGGAATATGAGACCTTCGTCCTTACTCTGATTAATGGGAATGCATCTCTTTCATATAGTGAGATCACCGCGGCTCTTGTGAATTATCAACTTCGAAAGAAGGACAATAAAACTTCTATTGAGTCGGTTGCGGGGGCATTGGTTGCAAGAGCTAGAAGTCCAAACAGTGGTAGGAGGTCGTAGTCTAGAGGGGGGCATCATGCAGTTGGTAGGAATCAATATGTCTTTTGTAGAGAGGATGGACATTGGAAAGCCGAATGCCCAAAATTGCAAGCCGAGAAGAATAAAGGGAAAGCTATTCAAGCTTCAGAGGTGAATGTTGCCAAGGCTAGTGGTGACATTTCAGATTCAGATTCTTCGGGCTATTCGTGCCAAGCTCTTTCGTCAGTTGATGTTGCCGACTCCACCGAATGAATGTTGGATTCGGGTGCTACTTACCACATATGCCCTAGGAGGGATTAGTTTTCCAGCTTTTAGGAGTTGGAAAGAGGGGATGATGTTCTTATGGGTAATGATCACAGATGCCCTATTAGTGGTATTGGTACCGTTCGGATTCGGACGAGTGGCAGGATGGTTCGGGAGTTGGTTGATGTGAGGTTTGTTCCTCAACTGAGAAAGAACATCATTTCACTTGGGGTATTAGAGGCAGCAGGCTATAGGGTGATCCGGCGGATTCTCGCTTGAAGGTCACATCGGGGTCCATGATTGTGATGAAAGGCGTCAGGAGGAGTAACTTATATTATCTGTTTGGGAGCACGGTGATTGATAGAGCGCTGACGACCTCTTTGGCTAGACTGTGGCATTGGTTGGTGTTGGGGTATATTATTGGTTATGCTGTGCATAGGTCGGTGAGGAGTGCTATGACCTGCAGATTAAAGTCCTGTGAGCACATTGGGATGAGCGAGGAGACTGAGGTGGAGTTCAGCACTTCTATCCATCGATCGAGTGGTCTTATTAGAGGTGTTCAGTTAGGCATTGGGGGGCCTTCCATGGAGGCATTATTGGGAGGTAATCGGTATTTTGTTTCCTATGTTGGGGATTGTACTAGACATATATGGGTTGCAACCAAGTCCCGTTGGTCTGAAGCCCTAGTAGTCTACGACAAATGGAGGAGGTGTATGGGCAGAAATGCTACCGTCGTACTAGTTCTAGTAGGGGTTCTTTAGTGCATTGGTGCCGAGCTCATGGTAGTTAGAGACACTTCAGAGGAGAGGAAACAGTGGGGCGACGTGATGAGATGGCGGATTTAGCGGGCCGTTCTTTTCTGGAGGAGGATCGGCATTGGTTGTTGAGCAGTGGATCTGGTATTCAGACTTCGACAGGTTTGGGTCATCTTATGAGGTTACCGACTGCTGCGTTAGATATTGTTAGATCTGGTGGAGGTACTTCAGATTTTGATTGGCGTCGGATATTGGGCTACCCAGCACGTGGCCACATCGTGGATGTGAGATTGGATCCGATTGTGCATTTGGGATTCAGAGACTCTTTTGGCTATCAGTTGAGGGCTTCTGAGTTTGGTCTGAGTAGGTATGTCACTTTGGACTCTCGACAGGTAGAGAGTATTGATCAGATCAGTAGGATATCACAGCGGGTGAAGGTTAATACTACTCCACATCGGGTGGAGCTTATTCCACATACTCCAGGTCATTTTGCATTAGTTAGGATTCCGGCTGAGGTGACACAGTTTGGGGATCAGATTGTTCAGGATGCGGATGACGAGTTGGTAGATCTGTGTGCAGCTGATGGATATAGCTTGGATATGGCCATTGGTTCACCTCAGGTGGAGGTGTTTGGATCATTTCAGTATGGGGCCGTTGGTGATGCTATCAGTCGTACATTGGATGTTGGTATTGATGAAGAGTTGATGACTCTTCTTTTGGATTGAGGGCTTTTGGAGGCCATAGGGTGAACTACGTGAAGGCTTGATTCCTTGGAAACAATACGTAGGCAGTCAGTTTTGATACAACCGATTTGGTGAGTAGACACGGTTGTTTTGGGGTGAGTGTTCGCACTCCCATTTGGGTCTCGACGTGTTGTGGATGTGGTCCGTTGTCATGAGTCCGTTGCCATGGCGTACTGGATGCAACAAGTGAGGCAATTGGTTTAGTTGGTGTCGGCTCAGTTTGGATGAATCT